GGTTGCCAGATTGTCTTCATAGCCATATAACAGGAAAATAGATGATACATGGCCGAAACAATGCATCTTGAGCTGTGCTTTCTGTGTTGAATGATTTAGATCTGAGAGTCTTTTGTGTTTAATGTGTTTACCTAACAATATGCTGTTTTGGCCTACTTTGGTAAATGAATCAACAATAATGCAAAATAGCTTGTCACATCACAGTTTAAAATTCTGCAGACATACGACCACGTATAGTATAAAACAATGTAATGGGTAGTTTTTCACACAGGTTTTACTTAGAGGCTATATAGCCAAATTAAGCCATTATATGAAGCCATTATCTCTCCTCCCAGTAGCCCTGCATACTACAAAAATAATGTGGACCAAATGGACAAATCTGCAAATGGAGAAAGGAGTGTTTTGTATTTCATGCTGCATGCTGAGAGATCATTTAATGATGTATTATATATATCACATTTGAAAAAATAATTCTTGAATAGTGCAGCTTTAGGACTTCCCTGAGTATGTCTTGTTGTTTTTTGAGAAAAAAAGTTATGCATGTAGACGTTGTACATTTTAACATGCTTTAAACTTTGAAGACAATTAAATAATGCAGTTAAATCAGAGTTGCTCTTCAAGGGCCAAACATAACGCTGATATTACAGAATTATCTTTGAGGGCTGAAACCAGTCTACAGCCCTCTGTTGAGCAGATGCACCAATATCCGCTCGCTCTCTGAGCTCTTTTCGTCAGGTTTGTATTCATCCAAGGGCCTTTTGGGAGTCTGGATTGGGGTTCATAAGCAAAGCAATAAAGCAATAATTAATTAAAAGAATAAATTTAAGCAACCCATTTCAAGTTTGTTGATTGAGTGAAGCTAAGCTTCTGCTGCCTTGGGATGTCTTGGTCAAAAACATGGAGTGAGATCAAAGCTGTAACAGCTTAAAAGACTCTTTTGTAGCTGTGTATATAAGCTAACTAAAATGGACCGAACGCCACGCTAAAGAAAAGCAGAAAGGAGAGACTGAAGCTCTAAGGGACATAATATTCATGAGTCATTTTCTAGACAACCGTCCATCCAATCGACTTCACGCTTGAGTGGTGCGTTGCTGAGGACCCAAGGAAGCACATTGTCGAGCGTGAAGTTGTTTTGGTGGGCGTTTCTCGAAATACCAGAGGCCAAGCAACCATCACATCCTGAACAGGCACCTTTTAAACAGGCACTGCACTCATCTCGCTAAAATAAAGCAAACTCAGTACATCCTCTCATAGGGGTTGCTGACAAACCTTACAGCTTTGTTCAAACCAGCTGTGTGACTGTCCACAAAGACTCTTCATCTGTCATCCATGCGTGTGTGTGTGTGTGCGTGTGTGTGTGGTGTGTGTCCTTCAGTGATCCAGTTTCCAGTCCCAGTAAAAGTAGGCCAGCCAGTTAGCCCATGAGTCAGTCTTTTCTCCTGAGAAAGGAGCCTCCCTGACATGACAGCATCATTGACAGCTGACCGACACACCCTACCAGGCGGACACTCACATACACACAACTTTTTGTATTATCCTTCAAGTGAACACACTAGTAGTATACAGTAGATGGACACACAAACACACACAGCTGACCGGCTGCATGTGCCGCAAAACACCCAAAGTCCGTTCTCAGCAGTATTTTTGTCATGGATACTGTAACCGTTTGTCTCCCCTGGTGTAAAAACGTGGAGCTGAGGTCACTGACTCTCAGTTGAATTCAAATGAATACTGACATGAACCGGGTAGAACTCAGAGACTGAACTGAGCTTAACTGTTTTTTACCCAGGCGTTTGCTGGTTTTGGCATGATGTAACTATTTGTAATTCTTTTTCCTCAAAATTCCCCATTTGAACATGCTGATTTCAATTCATATATGTTTCATTTCCTTTTCTATGTGTTTTCAGGGGACGTTGGGGGGGGGGGGGTGAATCCCTCAGTATGGTTTCAAATATTAACATTTGTAATGATGTAATAAAACCAGGACACATTGAATCAATACAGATACAATGTTCCTGTTTCGTAATAGCAGAGTCAAGATAGCGCACATTAGAAGCAGAGACAAGCTCATTTAACATTCTTCAGTGAGTGTTTGAAATGTACACAAACGCTATTGAAATGATTAAAATAGGTCAACCATGCAATGAAGACACAGTCCATCTTTCCTCAGCATAATATGGGCTGGTCAGTCTTCTTCAGGATTTTATTTTGACAAAACACATTCTTAATGAAACCGATCTTGAATGAAGTCTTGTTTTAACACAGGCTGCTAACGGGTTTAAGCATCAGTGTAAACACGGCCTGTTGTGAGTGGTGATATCACTGCGTGAGGTATGTGACATGCGATGTGTTTGGAGTTTATGTTGCTGACGGAGACGGTAATGTTGAGTCTTTCTTAGCTTTTTCTTCTTCAAAAACATTTTTGAACAGCTGGTGAAATTATATTACTGTAAACTCTGTTAAGCCACAGAGAAATGATGGTGTGTGTTTGTCTGTATATAACTTGTCTTGGGTATGCACACGTTTATTAGTCTGTGTACTTAATATGAGGGTGCACATGTGGCTCATGTTGCATCTTGTCCCTTGTCACCATCTGTGTTCCCATTATGTCACGCCTATGAAATCTGTATGACAACAGCTGACTGAAGCGTTGGTTACATGTAAGTTGAGATCCAAATAATTGCGACAGTATACATCCTTCCTTACATTCCAGCTTAATTTCTCTTTTTTCTTGTGCTCATTACTTCACTGGTTGATCTTTAGCAATAATCATCCTGTCTTGATAAATGCAATTGGAGATGAGTCATACCTATAAGGACAAACCTGTGTGTGAATGTGTTATTATAGGTAGACAGCCACTAATTTACAATAGGTCTCTATAGAGTGAAATATGTTCAAACAATCTGCCCTTTAACATTACATTAGTTAGACCTGCCATATTAAAGTTGATGTAAAGTCAAAAATAAACCATTCTGAAACCATAAGGGGAAGTTGTCAAGCGGTGCTTTTCCCAAGTGCTCTTCCATGCAGGAATAATTTTCCAATTATTTCCAGTTATATAATGATTATTACTGTGAAATGTAAGACTTCAGACCCTTTACGTATTTTCATATCATTAATATTTCCATTAGAGAAACAAAATTTAATAAAAATATATCGGAAAAGCACAGTCATGATGGGCGAACCTAATGAGGCGTCGAAGCAAAATGTCTTTTTCACCCCAAAGTGTATTTTTGTTCTAAAGCAACATTAAAGATGTAAACGTAATGAATCCGTCTGAGGCCTCTCAGTGGGTGGTGGAGTACTTCGCCGTATAAATTACATCACTGAACTTGAGTAATACAATGATTATGGTACTGATGACAACTTTAGCACAGTATATTTTGAAATATATCTTCCACCTGACCGCATGTGGTTCACCGTAAAGTATAATCAAGTTCCTTTCCTGTCAAGAAACGGCCTCCAGTAAAACAGTTTTACCCATTCAAATAAAAGGAGTTGCACTGCCTGTTTTCTATTTAAACACAGAAATAAATCAGCACACACTAAACCAGATGACTAAATGTTGTCTGTCGTTTTACTCTGATGCAAACATGAAACCCAGGGTTGACCGTGACATGTGTCTCATTGATGTGCCAGATTCAGCTGGCATGACTAAACTGGGATGACACCATTGATTGTGAATATGTAAAAAGTGAGCATATGTAGCAGCAATGTGTGTTTTGTATTACAAATTACACAGTTGAGTTTCCAGGTGGAAGTGATGTATTAAGAATGTCACTTAAGTGTTTTCCAACGTTCCAATGTATGATAACATTATTCACCAGAAATGATGTCATTACCATTGATCCTGACGAAGACTGGGCTGATGCACTATTGCTGGATTGTAGATCATCGGTGTAAATGGAAAGGTTTGATAACCTGTGATCATCGGCAGTAATTCAATTAAATTTACTTTATTAGATTTGTGTAGCACAGAAGGCCTCATTTATGTTTACACACATGTAAACATGTGAAACATGTAAAAGAAAATGTGTCGGCTATTGCTACGTAGTTGCATCCAATCCAATGCAGACATCTTACTCACTCTGCAATCTCTTCATGTCAAGAGAAGGGAAAAAAAAAATAAATGCCAAATAAAAAGCCCATGTAATGCAGGTTTAGATTGATGGTAATCATTTGACAAGTGCTTAATTAACCAAGTGATAGCTTTTTACCTCAAGAGCTGAGGATAGTCCTGGGCTGTGTCTATGTTGCATGTTTGCTTGCTAATACTTATTACACACGTGTAATGATGCACTATTTCGGCCATTAGTATGAAAGAAAATAATGTCAGCTACAGTAAATGATCCAAAGTGTTCACCGATGGACGCCAAGCTAAATATCAGCGTGGAACTGTCAATCCAAATCATCACAAAAGGCTGTTAAACGCCAACGCACAAAGGATTTGTCACTGAACGAGCCGTCAGCAGAGACGTCCCACTATGCATACTGTACACCACAACTTTAAGACTGTTTCCACTTTTACCAGCTGTGAACTGCTTCTATGTGTCAAATAGTGTCAATCAACAGCACTGCAGACTCAGACCTCAGTCAGTATTAGTATTTAGTGGAATCAGAATACACACCATAAAGAGCACTTGGCAGTGTGAGCGCAGGGTGGTGCTCGGAGTCGCTCTGCCGGCTGCTGTGAGTTTTATTGCATTTCCCAGGGAGAGCAATATGATGTCATCAACATGTGTCTCATCTACAGTTAAGACCCCGTTTCCTGGTTGGACAGCTGAGCTGGGGATAAGGAGTTTCTGTTCTCATAATAAACTCAAGGAAAAGTTTCCTTCCGAGCTGTTGCACTCAGAAGAGGTGTTTTCTTTTCTCACTCTGACTCGACCCACACTCACACAAGCACGCACTCTGTCCGTGTTTCTGAACTAAACTGTGCTTCAGCTGTCGACACAACACTTTCAGTTATTTGATCCATTTTTATTTATAAAATGAAGCCGTTCAAAATACAGCACAAATTTATCGTAACTAGTCAGACATCAAAAATGTCAATTTCTCCCTTTGTGACAAAACACTGGCGTCTTACAACAGAGTCTTTACAAGACAAATAATTTAAGGACAAAATCAAAACTTCAAAGAGGAGAGGAAACATGCTAACTATGAGCTGCTGGCTTTGTGCACACACTTTGGGCAGGCTCCACACATACATTTATGCAATTTTTAATATCTAAATAATCACAAAGATCAATCTTCAAAGAACTGACTGTTGTGTTGACATGAATGCTTTGTACATTCTTACATTTTCACATTCTCACAGCATTACTGTGGCTGAATGTGAGATACACTTGATTTTTGAAGAACAATATTTGTCAGTTTGACACCCACATATAAGTCACGAGATGAGTTGGGTTCAAAAAGTCCCGGAGAAGCTGGTGTTTGGGTGGATTGTAATGCTAGAGCCCTCCATCTTTATGTCTGTTGTGCTTCATGTGTAGGCAGTATAATGCAAATAAGGCTGCCAATATATGTTACTGTTTTTGCACTACAATAAACTCCCACTTTTTCCACAATGTAGTTTATCATTTACTTAGTTTTTAACTCAAAAAGTGTTTCAATAGTTAATACAGTAAATATCGAGCTGCAATTTTAAATCCAAGTTGTATTTTGGTGAATGAAGTCCCAATTTGCAACATTTGAAACAATGTAATATTTGGCCGACCAAGATTAAACTGATTATATTATGGATTATATTATGTGACCAAGTCAGTATAATACTGTATGACATGCTGTAGTTCAGTGTTAGTGGATGAATGTGTAAAGTAATGAAATAAAGCAACCTGACAAAGTAAAGCATGTTTGTCTTTCAGCATTACCAACACGTTTGTTCTTTAGTTCAGCAATACCTACGTTTAAATAAACAAAGCACAACAAGTAAAAGTGTACCTCCAGCTACATGAAACAAACCGTCCTCAAACACACATTATTTGTTTATGCAGACATACATGCGTGATGCTGCGTTCTTGATATAAAAATAATACAGTATTGAAAACAAAGTCATACATTAAAAATACGTACATAAGACATATACCAATTTATAAGTAGTGTCTTTTCTGAGATTTAACAGTATCTCCTGCACGGAGCCTTGCAGTTCCTTTGGGCATGTGGGACACATACAGTGTTAACAGCAGAAGAGTTCATTCACCAGTTCAAAAGACTGGTGGTGTCTCTGTCTTCGTGCTGCATGTTCGTGCGTGCGTTTGCTTCACCGTGTTATATAACATGGAGATAGGTCACCTGGGTGTCTACACCGATTACATTTTTGGCGGTGCATCTGTAAAATCCTGTATCCCTACTTGTCGGGTTTTGTATCACCAAGGAACCCTGAGGACTAAGGTAGCGGTTGCCATAGATCCGAGCCTGACCCATCACCCTCAGCTGTGTCAGGTCTGGTGTTTCCCACGTGATCGCTGCCCGAGGTGTTGCTATCGTCTGGCAGGGCAGCTCCACAGCAACCCCGGGCCGCGTGTAGGTCACAGGGGAGGGGCCTGCTGTGATGCGTGGGGGGTAGGCGATGACGATGACGGCAACCGTGACGACTGAAACTGAGGAGGAGTCGACACTGGTGGATCTGCAGGTGTAGCTGCCACGGTCGAACACAGAGGCCTGTTGCACTGTTAGTGTTCCATCCTCTTGGACTAGGTATCTGTCAGAGTCACCACTCTCACCCAGAGACAGTACCTTGCCACTGGGCAGGGTCCACGAGAGAGCGCCCTGGGTGTGAGAAGCGGAGCAAGACAGGCGAAGGGTCTCTCCGTTAATGATGCTCACCAAGGGAGCTGTTCTGGTGCTCACTGCTGGCTCTGAGACAGGGCTAGCTGAGCGGGGTGGAGGCCCAACTGGACGAGGTACAGCAGGTAAAGACTGGGCTCTGTGTAGAGGCGTTTGAGTAACTGGGATTCTTGGATGAAGCGTCTCAGGCAACACTGGCTTTGAGTTTAAGGATTGAGCTGAATGCAATGAGGCCCCTGAGCGAGGCGCCTCGATTAAACGACTTTCCTGCGCAGGCCTTTCCACAACCACTCCCCTGTGCGGAGATCTGGCCTTGTTCTGTGGCTCAGAGACCTCCAGCTCCACCTGTATCCGCGTCTGTTCTCTCTCACCTCTAACCACACATGCAAAGGTCCCTCGATCACTTGCCCGCACTCCTCGCAGCTCCAAGGAGCCATTTCGGTGCACAACGTATCGGCTGCCATAGTAAGGAGCTGGCAACACACCGTTACCAGGCAGAAGCCAGGCCAGACGAGGGGGAGGGGAGCCTTGGGAGGGACATGGCAAAAGAACAGTTTGGCCTTTTACCACTCGCTGCTTCACTGTCGTTACCACACCCACAATTGCGTTAGTAGAGTTTTTAGAACCTGAATTACTAGCAGCTATACTGGTACTACTACTGCTGCTACTCCTACTGAACACATTTCCTCTGAGTGTGCCACTACCAGCTGCATTATTAGACACACTGCTGCTAAAAACTCCAACATTTGTAGAAGTACCACTTATCCTGCCATTGTTTCTACTGGTGTTAGCATCATCAACAGCCTTTCCTGCAATGACTTCATTATTATAAGTCCTTTCTACACTATCTCCTCTAACTGTGCTGTGACTATTACCCACACTATTACTATTACTCATAACACTGGGTCCATTTTGATTTATTCCAATGTTATCTGGTTTAATATCTATATTCCTAGCCACGCTCACCCCAACACTGATAACACTGCTTCCAAGTTGTGTTGTGATTCCACTGTCTGGCCTGTTTAATCCAACTCGACTACCACTCCTAAAAGCCGGATTAAAGCCGCTGGTTGCTATGCTAGTGCTAGTGTTTGGAACAATGCTTCTTATTCTGCCATTATGATCAGTATAGCCATTGTTGCTGCTGTTTTTGCTGCCAAGCTTGCTTGTGTCTGCATTGGTAAATCCATACTGGTTTATCCCTGCATTGTTAATGCTGTCCCTTGATCTACTGTAAGGACCACTGCCAGGCCCATTGCTAGTACTCCAACCCCTTCCTCTGTCCGGGCCACTCAGTCCATGGTAAGGAGCCTCCACATCCAAGCCCACCACCATGCTGTTCTCCCCGGCTGGGCTGCTTGCTCGACATGTATAGTTTCCCGTGTCTATCTTTTGAGCCAGACGAACCTCCAGACTTCCATCTGAAATGGCCACAACCCGCTCAGTATACAAACCAGATCCCAAACTTCGTGGGATGACACGGCCTGTTGGGGAAAACCATGTCACTGTCGGGGCAGGAACTCCTGAGGCCTGGCAGCGAATTTTGGCGGTGGCCCCCTGACGTACTTTGATGACGTGGCGGCTTCTGTCATCAGAGAAATTTGGTGGCGATGCCATCATGATCTTTACTTTGACCTTAAAAGATTGAATTTGTATGAAGGAATTAATTACCGAATTAATTTGTACTTTTATTTATCCCATGTGTAGTGAATAAGTACATTAACGCATTATTCAACTATAGAGTAACATCACAACATTTTGATTTGATTTTAAAGTATAAATAAAAACCTTCATTAATATAATAAATTAATATTTTTTAGCAGGGCAAACTGTTTTTCTTACCTTCATGGTGTCTTGACCTCCTTGATTCTCAGCATAACACGTGTAGTCTCCCTCTTCTCCCATACCTACTGCTGGAACCAGCAACGTCCCATTGACAAACACAGTTAACCTCTGTGCTCGCCCGCCTCTGTCTTCCCCCTGCAACACGCTGTTCACCATGGTTCCATCCGGTAGGCTCCAACGGACTGCCGGGTGAGGTAGTCCTGATGCCTGGCAGTCCACCTGCAAGGAACGGGATATTTATTGCTATCATTGAGACGTTTTTGTGGCTTTTATTTTGATGGAAGCTTAGCTGTTGAGAAATAATATTTTATCTTTGTAAGGAGGAGTGACACATACTGTACACTGTTTTAAGGCTGTAAAAAAAAAGAATACTTACAGTAGAAAACACTGCTAAGCAACACAAATGTGTCCTCTTTCACCCCACTTGACATAGTTTTTATTCATGTGTGAAGAAGTATCCCCTCAAGGCCACTGTTGATGATTCACAACACCTGACAGGTTGTTCTTTTTGAGTCGAAAAAATATGACTTTTTGATTAAAAAAAAAAAAAAAAAAAAGACTGCTTGAAGCTGGAGAAATGTTTGGCACCACGCCCAGCGATAGAAGACACCCAACACACATCACTGTCTTCACAAAAAATAAGCATTGAAAAGTTCAAGTTGCTTTAAAGTTTTAGGCATTATTTGGTATAAGTTTCCAAAAGAGGTGTGTGATATATGATTGCTGTTAATATTTGCTGTTTTTCTTTATTGAATAAACATAATTATCACTTTTTTTATAGCTCACCTTCAGTGGCTTGCCCAATGACACCATATGAGTGAGTGGCTGCTTTGGCTCGATCTTGGCAGGCTTGGTAACCACAGAGACACGCAGGAGACGATAATCATCTGAGACCTTGTTCCGCGCAATACAGAGGTAGTCTCCGGCATCTTTCTCTGTTACTCTCTGGACTGACAGGGTGCCATTAGTGTTTACCTTCAGACGACGGTCAAAACTGAAATTCAAAGTTGGACAAACACGCTCAGAAATCACAAGTATACACTTGAGACATGATACTGACAGAATTATCACAAGATATAATTGTACAACCAACAGAATTTAAGTGATCTCTCTTTTTCTCACACAAACCCACGTCCCCGGTACCTGAAGTGCATGTCCACCAGTTTCCTGTTCGGGGTCCTCCAAACGATAATGGGTGATGGGTTGCCAGTTACAGAGCAGTGGAGCTGCAAAAAAAAACCATAGTGGACAGCAGTAATGGAGGGTGATGTGGAGACAATCTGGGCCTTACTGAAGGGGGAGACAGGCGAGGGATGCAAAGCAGCAGAGGCTCTGATTTTGTCAGAGGAGGAAGAGGAAGTAATTCTTGTGTTGTTTACAATGCCGGGCGACACTTTGGTGTTATTTGTAGGCACAGTGGAGGGTGGGGAGAGAGAGGAGAGTTTTGTTTTGTTGGCGTTGGTCAAGTATGTGGGGGAGGCAGTCTCTGTTTTATTGATTTTAGGAGATGAGTTAGAGGAATTGGGTTGGTGAGGGTAAGAAGATGAGCCAGAAGAACTGGGGGTGAGCGGCATGGTCCTGGCTCTTTCAAAGGGCGATGGATGGGAGAGTCTAGTGGAGTTGAATGGATTTGATGGGTGGCTGGGCATGGACAAAGTTCTGTCTTTATGAAGTGAAGTTGAAGGAGATTTGTTTTCAGTAGCAACTGCTTTTTCCCCTTTACTTCTTGCTCCAATGTGTCTGCTTTCTCCTTCTGCTCCACCTTCAATTTCTACCCTCACTGTTCTCTTATCAGCCCCAACAGCATTACTTGCTGTGCACTCGTAATTCCCTGAGTCCTTTGGCCCAACTCCTCGAATATGCAGTGTCCCATTGGGCAAGACAAAAAGGTTGCCATGAAGAAACTGGGATGGGCGAACTAGAGTCCCATCTGGGATTCGCCAGCGCAGAGTTGGTGGCGGGGCACCTCGGGCCGAGCAGTGAGCATAAACAGGCCTCCCTGGAAACAAGAGCAGGTGTTCCTCTCTGGGTTGCTGTATCACTGGGGGCAACGAGGACACGTGTACACGAGCAGAGGCACTGGCAGCACCTGCTGAGTTCGAGGCCACGCAGCGATACACTCCTCTGTCACTAGGTAAAGTTACTGAGATGTGGAGGGTTCCATTTTTGTCCATAGTGATGCGACTGGTGGAGGGAGCAGTGGCGGTCAAGACAGAACGATCAGGAAGAACCCAAGAGAGCAGGGGGCTGGGAACGCCATCCGCCTGGCACTCCAAGTGCACCTCTCCACCCTGATGAGTGGTAGCTTCTCTGTAGCTGGCCAGCTGCATCCGAGGGGGGCGGGTCCACACTTCCAGGGTGGTTAGCAATCTATCATGAAAGAGTAAAGCACACACAAACTCAATATATAAACACATCCACACATTTCAAAATACACGTAAATATAAGAAACAAACCATGAATGTCATATGACACATTTAGGGAACACCCAAAGGCATGCATTCACAATTCGAACAGGAATCCTTGAAACATTGCCTTGAAAAACATAATATTCAAGGTAATTGGCTTTTCAAACAATGTCATATAGAGACATTTGCATATGACTTATGACAGGTCTGCTTGCATTCATAATACATTCATAATACTCAGTAATTTGCAGTTTGCCTTAGGCCTATGTAATTAGTACATTAAATAGTTCTTCCCCTGGTAATTATAACTAAATGTTATACATTGCATTAATATTCTGGTATCAATAGCATCACCTGTCACGACCAATAAAGCTGTGTGCACTGCAGATATATGTGCCCCTGTCCTGCGGCTGAATATTCTGGATAACAAGGGTGCCATTTGGCAAGACCTCAAAACGCTGAGCCCTGGAGTGGATTGATATCACCGCTCCTGAGAGAGAGAGAGAGACAGTCAGACAGACAGACAAGCAAGAGAGAGCAGCAGTGAGGAGAGAGGGTGGGAAAGAAAGTTAGAGAATGAGTAAGAGACAGAGACAGAGGAAAGGAGGATCAGGGACATGCTGAGTGGCACAGCATGTAGTAAACCCAGTGATGCAGTGCACAAAATGTTCCATTATTTCCTTGCAATATGCCTTTCCCACATGGCAAGTGGGAGAAAAGCCTATTGTGTGCAAGCCAATGCGTAATGCTGGGTGTTAATGGGTTATTTCATCAGTGTAAAATGTGTTCTTATTCATTTAGTTATAGTACATACTAAAGCTGAGGGTGATTTTCCTTTCACATCTATGACCTCAGGATGTAAATACAAACCTTTACTTATTCTGCTTTTAAAGGTACAGTCTGTACTTTTTCACAGTATAAATGAATTGTATCTTCACATCTATAACTAAACATTTATATGTTTCCCAGCATAGTTGAAAACATAGGCCTGAAGTTTCAGAGAGCAGGTTTACTGAGTAAACTGGAAAACTTTGCTGAGTTTTTACTTCAGTCCATGAACCAGATTTGATAGGCAAGTGAAGAGAAAACTCAACCCTGATTTATACATTAATGAATTTAATGGTGTTTTGTTTCGAATAAGTGCACATGTGTGCATGCTGAAAAAAATCACGCTGCACTGTGTGTACCTGTGGCGACCTTAGTCCATGTGATGGAGGGCTTTGGCTCTCCTTGAGCCTCACAAGCCAGCCTGGCAGTGCTCTCTGCTGGGAACGACACTGTCCTGATGTGTGGGTCTGCAATCCTCGGTCTGGATCTCACTACTGGGGCCTATGAGAACGATTTAGTAAAGAGATTATAGTGGCATAGTAATGGATACTAGAAGTTATTAATCTATTTTTAACAGCAACGGAAACAATATAAAAATAGTAAGAATAGAAGACCTACATATTGCCACAGTGTAATCAATAGATTAAACAGAGAGTAACATGAATATGTAAACTCTTCAGTATAATTAATTTTATTAATTTTTTTGAACAGTAAACATTTTTAAGCATTGTTCAGGTTCTCCAATATAATACATCAATGCTGTAGTCCCAGATTTAGAATCGTTGGGGATGGACCTAGTGGTTTGCTCTGTTGGTTTGTTGAGGCTGGCAGAAAGAGCTCTGGGAATTATTTAACAATTGATTATCTCGAATCCATGGGATTACGATCTCTAAACACATAATGTTGCTGATAATGGAACATCTGTTTTTCATCTCTTCTTTAGCTCTGGCAGGGGAAACCCATGAAATTGAAGAATTGTCATAAACATCCCTTTGCTTTGATAGCAGGTCATGTGGATGAAGATTAGACTATTTTCAGATCTATTGCGCATTTCTGTTTTGCTCAAGGGCTTGCATAGTCCTGTGTAGTTTGTGTGTATGTGTGTGTGAGTGTGTGTGTTATTTTTTCTGGACCAGCACTCACTTAGAAAATAAATGTTACTTTGAGTTCCACTTAGCTGACAAGAAAGAAAAGATCTTTGTAGAAGGTATATGAACTGCAAACTACATTTAAGAGTGCACTTAAAGCAGTGACTAATTGAATGAATGACTGAAAGCAAGGAGCAGAAAAATGGGAAAAATTGCAGAAATTAGCAATTGAATTAACAAATAAAGAATGAATCGTCAACCTAACTTGGCTCTTACTGTTGTTATAATCTATGTGCTTGTTTTAAGATCCATTTTGGGTAAAATAATCAACAAAATAGCAATAGAGTGTAATATAAATTGATTTGAACTCACCACAGGGGCGACAGGGAGCGAGGGTGAGGGGAGCCAGTGTGGCCTGCTGCTGTGTGAATCAGGAATAGAATTGGTCGCAGGGTTCTTCCACTCAGTAGAGGGTCGACTTTGGTTTGGACTCCCAGAAACAGGCCTGCTTCTGGGATCAACATGTACAACACTCGGCCTCTCTCTGGATGATGCTGTGCTACTGGTTGATTTCATTATTGTTGTTGTTGTTGTTGTAGTAGTAGGTGATGTTCTGGGTACAACTGAATTTGCAGTAGTTGGAGAAGTTTTGGCTGAGATGGCAGATCTAGTACTACTCGTAGGAGAAGTAGTTTTAGTAGTAGTGGTAGTGGTAGTACTGGTAGTGGGGTTACGAGTTGTGGGAATAACTTTGAATGAGATTGTAGTACTCGTAGAGGTAGTAGTAGTAAAATAAGTAGTAGAAGGTCTAGTTGAGGAAGTAGTAGTGGAAGTGGGACTAGTAGATGTAAGAAAAGGAGTTGTGGTAGTAGTAGTAGACGTAGGAGTAGGAGTAGCTGTAGTACTTCTGGTAGTGCTGGTTGATGGGATAATAATGGCAGTTGTAGTAGGCATGATGGGACTTATAGTCATAGGAGTATTCGTAGTTGTGAGAAATGTGTGTTCACTAGCTGTAGTAGTAGATGGACTTGCAGTGCTTCCATCAGAACTAGTAGCATGAGGGCTCTTTTGAGTAATAGGGGTTGTTGTGATTTTTGCAGTAGTTGTTGCGCTGGGGACTGTAGAGGAAATAATGGAGGAAGAAGTGGGTAGGAGAGAGGCGGAGGAGTGGGATTCATATGGTACACCCGAAAAATTCATCCACAGCTCTTCACTATGTTTGCTTTGGGGTCTATCAACATGTTTGCCTAAGGCTGTGCGTGTTTTTGTGTGACTCTGTATGCCATGTGTATGTGTCCTGGTTCGTGTGTGCGGCTTATGTGTCTGTGCGATTGCAGTATCCGAGTGAGTGGGTTCTGTTGTCGGTGTGTTGAAAAGAGTGGACCCTGCAGTGTCTGGGATGTTGGCTGAGTGAGTCACCATGTCTATATGTATCTTTGTGTGAGAGGGGGATAATGAGGTTGGAGTGGAGGAAGATGGAGTCAATGAGGGGGAGGCAGATTCTGAAGTGGAGTTACCATGAGTGTTAGAAACAGGGGGAGACGGAAGATGCAGTGCCACATCATTTGGAGCAGTTGAAATATGGTCGCTCCGTGTCAACGAAATAGCTGGAGATGTGGTTGTTGCCGCCAGCAACAACAAATTAATTTCGTCCGTGGTAGTGTCAGGTGTTGCAGGTTGTGACCCTGGGTTCGTAGCATCAGAGAAAGGTCGGGGTGGGGTCAAAGGGCGTCCCCTGGGCCTGTTGATGATTCGTCTTTGCTGTCCGATTCTTCTGCGAGAATTCCAAGGGCTTTGAGGCCGAGAGTTTGGTACCAAATTAGGGAAGAGTCCCTGCCGGGGGCTTTGAGGCCTGGTCCTAGATGGGTTGGTGTTTGCTTCTGGCTCACCTCCTTCTCCTGGTTCTAAGACAATTTCATTTGTTCCTGAGTTTGGCTTAGATGTGACTGGTTCTTTCTGTGTCTCTGGGTTTCTCACTTTCTCTTTCTGTGGAGATGCGTTCTCTGTCTCTGTCTCGTTCTCACTATCTGTCTGTATTTCTGTTAACGCCTCTGTCACTTTATTTATCTCTGTCTCTGTTTCAGTGTCTGTATTTGTCTCTGTGTGTGTTAGTATTTCTGTTTGAACGGAACGATTGTGCTGTAAGCTTTCCTCTTGTAGATCAGTGTCATCAACAGATGACCCTTCAGTTTCTGCTTCCACCCCTGCTCCCACAGCTCTACCGCTTTCTGTATCATGATGTCCGTCATGTTTTCCTCTGTCTCCATCTTTGCCTCCTCCCTGTGGTTTAGCTGTGGGCTTTCCTGCTTCGATGGGCTGGCTGTTATTAGTGTGAACAGTCTTTTGTCGTATCTTAGCCAGGAGGTCAGCCCATTTCTGAGGGTCTATCCTTTGTTTGTTTGTGGTAACTCTATGTCTGTTCTCAAAGCGGTTTCTTTTCTGGTCATTGGATGATAAAGGCCCTCCTCCTCTTCTCAGGGGGCCTTCTCTCCTTGGTCCGGGTCTTCTAGGTTTTCCGGTGGGATAACGTCTGTTTGGGGGAGGTTGGATAGGTCTTGGGTGCTTCCTATTACCAAAAAGAGTGCTCTCTTCTTCTTCCTTTTCATCCCCTGATCCTTCCTCCACTAGCAATGGAGCTCGTATCTTGGTTGACCTGCCAGCGGCTGACTGTGGCCCTGTGGGAAATGAAGTCCTAAGTGGAGGGAGGTGTCGTGAGTTTAACTCCAGTTGCATGGACAGAGAATCGCTACCATACTGGTTGACAGCAATGCAGCGGTAATAGCCAGCATCCCTCTGAGACGGGTCAGACAGAGACAGACTTCCATTTGATTGTATAGTGAGCCCACCTGATACAGCGAATCCCCGCCTTACTATGTTTCCATCTGGTAACACCCAACTCATATGAGATGCTGGTGAACCAGATGCCTTGCAGGACAGACTGATGGGCTCCCCAATGTTTCCGGTGACAGGAGGTCCCACTTGCTCACCTAAAGGCGGTACAGAGGACTCCTCCACTGCCAGGTGCAGGGGGAGAACATCTACATCGCTGCCTGCCCTGGCTATGCAGTGGTAAATCCCTGCATCTGAGAGCTGTACTTTGTGTAGAAGTAATCCAGAGGTTGAAGCCTGGAGCCTACCATCTAGGCTGATGGAGGGGGAGATCAGCATGGAACCATCTGGGAGAACCCACTGTACTTTGGGGTTACCAGAACTTAAAAGAGGGCATGATAGCTCCACCTTACTGCCTGCTAGTGCCGCCAGGGCCGTGGTGGTATGATTAGTTGAAATAAGCACCCATGGCTGAGAGGGAGGGGCTGACGTTGAGGTAAGAGAAGCAGGGTCCGGATGAGCAGTGACTCTTGTTGAGTATATAAGTTGGACTTTGTGTCCGTTAGACTGTGCTCTGTTTAGCTGAATGCTAATGGCTGGCTGTAGCAGCCACTGTGGTTTGGCTTTAACAGAAGCTTTGACTCCAGTGTGATAATATCCATCTGTCTCTTCTGCCTGCCTGTAGCGGTAGGCCAATGCCGGGGCTTTACTCAGCATGATCTCCCTCTCTAGGCGAACCGCAGTCTCACTGTAGTAAGCAAGAATCTTCCAAAGATTTTCATAGCTCTGTTTCTCCACAGGGCACTCCAGGGAGAGTGACAGAGCAAGGGGGAGAGGAGATGAGGAGGAAAGAGAGAGATCTGGAGGGGGAGCAATATCGTGGAAATCAGAAGAGTGAGTGATGTTGCATCCCAGATTGACACTGTTTCCCTGCTGGTCAGACAGACCCAGAGAGGCAGTGCCTAAAGGCTCTCTAAAGGATTCACTTGATTGGATTTCACTAAGTTCTGTCTCCAAAGATGTGTCTCTTCCTGGGGAGGGGATAACAGGTGAGGTGCACGATAGGTCAGTCTGGTCAAGCAAGCCCTGACCTTTAAGGGAATTGGGCGAGGCACAGATTGGACACTGAGGGCCGCTGGGACATTTCAATAAACCTAATTGAAAGAGAGAAGCAGAGAAAATTATGTCATAATCCTTACCATCTCTGGCATTTCAACTGTGTATCACAGCATAGCAACTATACTAACATATTAGTGCACATTTAAGCTATCTGCACATATTAGTGGTGTCATATATTAGTCATGCCAGCTCATCTTAGGCATCTATTACCCTCTATATCTTTTACTAATTCGGTATGATTACTTCATCTACTCATAAATCAGAAAAATGCATCACTTCACTATTACACAGCAATCATTAGCCTATATTTAATTTATCTGCACACATCAATGCTGTCATCATAGATTAGCCATGGCAAGTTAAGTCTGGCATATTAATGAGACGCATTTCATGGTCCAGCCCTCTTTTACATCTCAATAGGACACACTGGAAGAGATACAGAAAATGAAGGAAGACAGACAAGAGTGTGTGATGAAAAGCAGGTGTAGAGATGTCAGAGGTATCAAGATAACGAAACCAGATGTGTTATAAAGTATCTTCATCTCATTTTATCATCTGTTGGGATCTGCCATGGTATATTACAGTATATTTAGACTACTTATTGACTGGAATTATCAACAAATTAGTCTTCTGTTTCCCAATGTTCCTTATTACCTCATCTCCTAATCTATTTATTCTCCTTTCGTCACTCAAGCAACCTACATGCTGCATTACCCACCACATTTTTGCGTCTTTTTTGACTGAATTATTATGGTTCAGAGGCACAATCAATGACCACCATAAAAGGTGTGTGCATATGGGAGACAAAACAACGTGAACAAAGTGAAAAAAAAGAATATTTCAGATGTGACAGTCACCTGGATGAGAAAGACTCCAAGTGAGAAACCAGGTCATCCTACAGTCACAACTCCACGGATTAGCCTGCAGCGCAAGAGTCTCCAACAGAGGTGCTGTCGCTAAAGTCTCTCTGGGCAGAGTGGTTAGGCTGTTGTTGGACAGGTCCAGGTGTCTACAGGAGGGGAAAAACAGAGCAAAGAAAAGATTGAGGTGACAAGAGGGAGGGGGAACACCAAGGTTTAATCAAAGTCATAGAGGAACGGATGAACGAATGGGAGTGGGCAGTGAGAGGTTACAGATTAGGGGTAAAAATTTAATTTATAATTTCTTATCATTTCCATCATCCTTTTCATGTTCAGACCAACGGTATTCCTCTGCAGTAGTTATACAAGATCAAAAAAAGGTAAAGAGACAAAACTGTAGCTTTAGTGTTAGAGGTGTATTTGTCCAAATACCAATAACCAGCAATATAAGTCTTACCATTTTCATCAGGCTATTAGTTTTCTTTGAGGAGTGTTTAAAAATATTATAACAATGATTATTACATCATGTGCTTTAAGTGTTAAAGCTCACCTGAGGGTAGAGAAGTAATATGTATTCAGAAGGGACAGTGTGCACAGAGCGTGAGGGTGCAGCTGATGCAGCCTGTTCCCTTGCAGACGCAGCAGCCTGAGGCTAGTCAGCTGGAGCAGTGCCCGGGGGTGGATGTGCTGGAGGAGGTTGTGATCCAAGTACAGACGGAGCAGCGAGGTCAGGCCAGAGAAGGTCAGAGATGAAGCGATCTCTCTCAGCTTGTTATAACTCAGCTTTAGTATCTGTGGGGGAGGGGGAGGAAATGGAGTGAGCAGAAGCAATAAAGGATTAGAGGAGTAATCAAATAATAGGCATCAAAGCTGATGAAGAAGCCACATCTTCACGGCGATCATGAGTGTGTCACTGGACGCCATATGCTTGTAAATTTATTTAATTTATGACAAATGATGTGAGGGGAATAGGAATGAGGATGAAGGGGTGGAAAACTCTTTGTAAGCAAACATGACTAAATGCAGTCTGTGTACATTTTAGAAAAATATGGAGAAATCTATGGAGAAGCCACTTCCACCCGCACATAACCTCACATGTAATTGATGTTCAAGCACTGGGTGTCTTCAACTATTCAAATATGGAATTTAACCCTTTATCCTCAGCAGAATACACAAGGGGATCCATATTCTACTCATGTGTAGAGAGCGCACTACATTTTAAGAAGGCACACCACGAAAACCATGTTGTGGAATTGTGTTTCTGTGAGGCTTATGATAAATCTGCTCTGCCGGAAGGCGACTTAGGCAGACTTTGGCAGAGTTCCAGCTGCTAACAGATCTAAAACGTGAAGATGTCAGCATATGGAAATATGGATTCTATTATCACACAATGGCAAATATATCAGTATCTGCCTGTGAGATGAAGGGAACAATTGCTTGTTGAGTAATATCGCTTCCCCACAGACTGTGAACTCTGTCCTTAGGATGCTGCAAAAATGTCCAGTACGTTTCCTGTCACTGAGCAGGGAAAAGGATGACTGCACATAAATGATGCATTAGTTGTGCAGACATTAGGAAAATGTGCTTGATAATGTGAACAAAATCATATAAACTGTTATAATTTGCATACTGTTTTCCCCGATGAAATGTAAAATGAATCCTTTTATTAATCAATTTTTATCAACAATATGACTGCAAGATTTAGGCATATTTATCAATGTAGGGACCTCTCTTAATTGCACTATTTTGACAAATGCTATATATCGTGATAATCCCTGCATTACTCATGGGGCTAAAAACTTAAATTGGTTCCGTCAAACAGTTTAATTAAAATTAAATTCATTTTCTCAACTGTGCACTGCAAAAACCTTCATCTCCATGGAGTCAAAGGTTAAATATGTGAGGAGACAATGATTTATTTTCCTCATTAACAGTCACATATTTTAGAATCCAGCATCAATAGTTTGGTTTGGCACAGGACATTCCAGGACACTTTCAATTGCTGGTTGCTGATAAGTCCAGCTCTATAAAGTAGAACTGTACAACAACAAGAAGAGGCCTCTGTAGAATCATCTCGACTGCCTCAAAATGTTGGCTGTCATCATCCACTAGTTTGCTTTTGAATAGAAATTCCTCTCATTTCAGTATTATACCATGATATTGGTTCAACACACGTTGGTGTTGCTCTTCTTTCTGTTTACCTGTAATGATTTCATATCTCTGAACGCTGCATCTGGGAGATGGTGGAGGCCATTGCTGTGGAGCATCAGGAGCTCCACCTTCTTTAGCCCAGCCAGAGAACTGTTATGGATCCTGTTGATGCTGTTGAACCTACGGGGCACAGAAACAGAATCATCAACCTGAGACGTCAGTAAGTCAACAAATACTATTATTTCCATATTAGCTCATTAATTAACTTCAGCTTGACACCTGGATCCACACTCTGAGACTGTGTTTGCACGGTAAACAATAAGCCCTTTATCTTAAGCATGCATACATCGTTTGTGTATTAAATGCATTCCCTTACCCTAAATTTATACGGCGAGTGTGTAGAGGCAAGCCAGAAGGTATGGTGAGCAGGGAACGAAATGTACAGTGGACTTCGTTGGTCTGGTAGCAGTTGCAGCTCCTGGGACAGGCCTGCCCCATCGACACTGCAAGTGTCAGCACCAGGAGAGTCAGCGGCACACACACACTCCAGTTCATCTTCACTCCGCAAGACGAGAAGCAGCACTGGGATTATCTCTGCCAAAGAGAAAAAAGGGATCAAGAGTGATGGAGGGCAGCAAAGTACACCACAGTGACATCTCAAAATCCAGATGAGAGCCTCGCTCTCTCCTTCTTTCTTTCTTTCTCTCTCTCCCTCACGCACGCACACACAAGTCAGGTTTTATTCAAACAGCCGAAAAACAAGGGGATTTGCAATCTGTAGCCTCCAACATATGCCACTGTCTATATAGATCCACACTAAAGCCACATTGACACATTGCATTTGTCTGAAACAAAATAGAGCGTTGGGCTATCTCCACTTGTGGGTGTGTGTGCCCAGTAGGTTAATTGAATGACATATTTCACCATGTCAATTTAAAAAGTGCAGGAGGATTCAGTAAGAGTAAAGGAAAGACATCAAATTACACCCTACAGAAACTCTCTCTCTCTCTCTCTCTCTCTCTCTCTCTCTCTCTCTCTCTCTCTCTCTCTCTCTC